GCTGATAATTTAAAAAATAGAGCGCAAAGTATCATTAGTTCGCAATTTAGCAAGATGGTACTGCAAGTTATAATAAAGTCATTGTCACAAGCACAGAATACCAACTTTTAGAAAGTTTAGTTCCTCTGGAGATGTCACATTTGCAAATACATCCTGTTTCTGTTTTAAAGTCAACAATTCCGTAGAAGTGCGACGCATCTTACCAAGATTTATGAATAAGAATTAGCTTTTTACTAGACACACCGGTTTTTAAATATTTTATAGGTTGATCAGTATTGGACATTTTATGTTCCAATATCCGGTAAGCATCATGCATGGAATCAATTTACTTTCAAGTTCAAGTTGTTAAAATGACGCGTTGAATTCGTGATCAGAATGATGTTATTAAAACTGCAAGCAAAGGAATATGACTTTAAAATATTGTCAATGCGTTCGCTTTTCCCACTGAGTAAATCGGTTAAACATATATAGATACGCCATGCAGGCAATTTTAATATTTTTTAACATAAAAATTTAGTAAGAGAGCTACAGTTACATGATCACGAACTTTTTTTCAAGCAGTTTAGAATGGATCCTAGCCAAATGGAAGAGGTTCTTAGTTGGGTAGCACCAAAGATTTATAAACAAAAAACTCGAGCAGATGTCATAGGACCAGCAGAGAGGTTGTGTGTTACAATGCGATACCTAGCAACTGCTGATGCCTTTTCTACGATCTCGCTTAATTACAGAATTGGAGAAACAACTACTTCGAAAATTGTTACTGAGACAACCAACGCAATTTGGGAGGCTATGAAAAAAAAGGACTTTTTGCGTGTGCCAATGGACAGGCAAGAATGGCAGCAAATTTCAAATAGATTCGAAAAACGCTGGAATTTCCCTAATTGTTTAGGTTGTATCGACGGAATGGTTGTATCGACATGTCATCATGCAAGCACCTGCTAAGAGTGGTTCTCTTTTTTTTAATTATAAAAAAACTTTTTCTATTGTACTTCTAGCAGTTTGCAATTCAAACTATCAATCTTTAATGGTCGATATTGGTGAAGCAGGCCGACAGAGCGACGGTGGAGTGTTTTCAAACAGCAATCTAGGACATTCTATTTTAAACAATCTTCTTCCAGTACCATTTCCATTACGTCCGAACGATTACGTTTCCAACCGATCTCTGACGCAGTCCAATTGATAGAGTCAACACAACCCAAAGAGAAATGAGGTTTTTAAAGTCCTTTTAAGAGCTATTTTGTAAATAATTCTTTGTTTGAATAATTAATCCTTTTAAATGAACTTTTGGAGTGTACGCTTCAATGATCTCGGCTTAGTACAAGAGCCCTTAGTACTAACACAGTTAATAGAATATACACGGTGAGTAAAAAAAACGGACACCTTTGAAATTCAAATTAGCTGCGAACTTATGACTGGAATATGACAATTCCCATGTACAATCAACAAAAACGATTTGATAAAACTGTTCTTTTGTATTTACAGAGCTTATAATGCATTTAAACTCCCAATGGGAACAAACTTTATGTTTTAGGTTAATTAATATGATATGCTTCGTATACCTACGAAATATTCTAAGCAACTTTTCTCACATTACAGCCGCTATGCCACTAATTTGAATTTCAAACGTGTCAGGTTTTTTTTTTACTTACCCTGTACATGGTTGGAGACTAAATAAAAGTACAATACAACTCATTAGCTATATTATAGTCCGCGTTTATGCAAAAATGGTTCCTTTCTCGTCACTTGTCCATTGTATTTTAGCCAAACGTACCAATGGCATTTGTCTTGCTAAGCTCCTCGTGCAACCTTGACTTGAAAAATATTTTAATTATAACATTGCAATTGGTTTAACGGTGTAAAAATACAATAGACGCATGGTTGGAAAGGAAGAATTTTTAGAATAAATCTACCTCAACATAGTTAATGAGTTGTATTGTAGTTTTATGTGGTCTCCAAACATGTATATTCGATTAAAGGGCTGTTTACATGAGCCCGGTTACCCGAGATTCAACGAAGCGTGAGATGATTTTGAGGTATTGAAATGAGCAGATAACATGATCCTGCATGGCAGTCGTATAATCACCACAACAGTAGCATGTAGCTATTTGGTGTCTTAAAGACTTTTTTCAATACTTCAAAGTCCTCTCACGCTTCGTTGAATCTCGGGTACCGGGCTCATATAAACACTGTGGTAATAAATATATAGAGTGAAATTCTGCAAAATCTCGGTTACGTCACTTCCGGGTTAACATGGATGTACATGTGGCGTCTGGACTGTGTGTACGCTGTACGTTTCTTCTTGTCGTGGCCGTGTGATATTACAGGACTTCACTGGGAACGAATTCATTATTCCGTTTAGTAATTTTTTTACTTTACTTAAAAGCTATTGTTGGCAATTTCGATGGGGTTTATTTACTTTATATCCTTATTCAAACGTGGTAGTTTCTCACAAACTCACATTAGGATTTTCTCTGTGACAACGCGAACGGAATCGGGGATTTTAAATGATATTTTCTCTCCACACCAGACGACGTTCAGCCATAACAAAGTCTATTTCCTTGACTGAGATCGCGACATCCAACGTGCTTGTTCGACGTGAATAAGCTTCCTACACTCGCCTTTTTGTTTTGCACTGTCTACGGGAAAGTAAGCGATCATTTCTCGTCATAAGACATAAACGCCTGTTCTACTGAAGGGAATTAAAGTAAGTGTATGTGTATTTCTCTATAATTACTATTTCTATAGCACGTTGTTGTTCTAGGTCAAGCCTTGTGGTGATTAATGTCAACCTGTTGTACATTTGCATACGATATGTAAATGGTGACCTATAGCAAAAACCAAAACTATTGAAATCACCTATTGTATTTGGTAGAATCACAAACAAACGTCACCTTACAGGTAAAGGTCCTGTTACACGGTGCAATTTTTCTTGCAACTTGCAATGCAATTCTACTTTTGAAAGTTGAAATTTGGCCACTACGGAACGTTTATGTTTATTATACTCCTAATTTACATCTCTTAAAAGTAGGTTTGCACTATGTATGGTAACATGGACTTAAACGGATCCTAACATTGGATCTTCAGCACTGTTTTCTGCATTTTAGACACGCAATAGACACTTCCCGAATTTGTTTTCGGCAATGAAAAAAAAACAGCAGACCAACAATAAATTGTATTGCCCCTTTTGCCCGATTCGTTTTAATTTGTGTCCACTCTAGCAAATTCGGGAAGTGTATGTAGAAGCACCTGAATGTGTTTAAACTCTTTGCAGTCACACAAGCTGTCAACTTGTTGTTTTCAGTTGTTCTGTAGGATGTTTATTAGCTGTATATGAGGACATTGTTATGGACAAATTGCAAAGAGTGCAGAATTGACACTACGAAATCTTTTTGCTAATTTCCAGTATTGTTATGTGGTTTTATTTTCTATTTACGCGAGGTATGAGATCTTTTACAATGGATTAACTAATGTTCATAAATGTTAGTTTCTTGGCTTCATTCTTCTCTTTTCTTCAAATATTTGTCGTTGCTGTTCTTGTCTTTGGTCATTGGTTCTGTAAAGGTTGAGCTTTTCTAACGTTTCATTTGCTTCTTACACCGCTTGTCCACTGAAGGTTGGGGTGTTGTGCCTGCCCTTTTATAGTAACGGTTGAAGGAAACTTGCAGACGTCATCAACCAGAGTGGGCTGATCCTTATCCAACCAATCAGCGTTGTAAGTTAGAAATGTGCGTTGGTCTTAGAAGCTCGTTCCAGCTCTCATATCTTATTTGTTTAAGGCGTTTTCGCACTAGTCGAGTTGGTCTTCTGCTCAATCGATCGATACTTAAAAATGTTCACAACTTAAAATATTCATCATCAACAACTAGTGAAATTTACAAACAATACCTCTGTGAACAATGTCTTTCAACTTAAACTATTTTCACTCTTATTTTATCGAATTGAACTTTTAATGACGTATTCTATTACATGCTTGACGCGCAACATTTTAAACACAATTGATTGACAGATTGACATAGGAGTTTGCCTGGCCTACAGCACGCACGTTTTTTTAAAAAAATGCAACAATTGAGATAAGTGACGACTTAAGACTGTTTATCTAGGTATTAGTTCTGAGAGGATAAATATTTTCACCTTATTACTTATTTAATCCCACGATATGTCATGCATGAAACGGAAAGACGATTAATGTTTGCTAATGGCCGAAAATTATATTTACTCAGGCGTCTCGTGGAAAAAATTATTCACTAATCCCTGCTATGCAATTGATATTCCTATTTTTGCAGCTATTTTTATATGCATTTCTCTAAACTCAATAAAGCCTTGCGTAACAGTATGGTCGAATGCTCAAATAGACATACGAGACATATACTCGTCTAAAGATCAATGCTGGAGAACGCAATTTAAGAAGAGATCTCAAACAGATGCAAAAAGCTCGACCCATGCCTTCATGGTGCAATAGTGCATGTAAAATGCTCGGGTACGCCACTTGTCCTAAGGCCTATTAATTTTACACCACGCGATTAGTCGTATACGATTCGTATACTCGCATATGACTCGAATAAATGCATGTAAAGATGTCACATTTTAAGTTTCGTAATAGTCTGATAAACAGAGAGAGAGTGGCGTCAGCAATCGTTTTCATACGCCATGCAGGACATAGATAAAAGATGGACAGATGTCCACCTCCGTAATAAAAATGTTGCAAGACAGCCATCTTGCTGACAAGTGTTTATTGCGTGATATTGCATCATTTGTTATGCTCTATCCAGAGCTGATTGGCGTCTGTGTCGTCATCAGGAATTCAAATTACTTCTTAAGATAACGGAATATTCAAAGCAACAAATAAACACCTGCAAGAAAACTAGCTTTCGACCACTCATAAACCAATCAAAACTCTCGATTTGATCATTGCGCGCAAGGATCGACCTCTTTTTGGCTTGCGTTGTATAACACCTTTTCAAATGTATATTTCATTGCTCGTTTCAGCAAGATATGTGACTGTTAACAGCATACGCAGCTTATTTTGCTTTGCCGGATACAGCTTGTGAAAATTCACTACAACTATACATCGACCACGGGCAACTGTGAAACACCGTGAAGGTAGTGTAAGCTTGTTTCAATACCAATTTTTGATGTAATCATGCATTTCCTGTAATTATATATATATATATATATATATATATATATATATATATATATATATATATATATATATATATATATATATATATATATATATATATATATATATATATATATATATATGACTAAAGCCCTAAGCACTTTTACCGCGTTTTTACTGTTTTTAACCGTACGAAATCGAACATAAAAGTTTAAATATGCTTTTAAAATTTTACTCTTTAACATCTAAAGCAACCAGTGCATACTAAACTACGAGGACAACTCATGTAATATTTAGACTTTTACATGCGATGCGTGTACGTGCGTATAAAAAACGCGACAGTGAAAAACGGCCCTAAATGATGTTCTCCGTAGCTTTGTGGTTAGAGCACTGCTCCGAAAAAGCAGAGTTGTACTCTTAATTACTGTCGGAGAACCGAAGTTGAATTTTTCGCAACGGTCTCGGTTAGATCTCTAAAATCGTATGCTTCTGCCACCGTTCTCCAAAAAAACTGTCAACATTTAGTTTTTAAGGGCTGCTTTCTACTGTTGCGTTTCTTTTACCCGTGTAAAATTTAAATGTTAGTCCACAGATGGGTCAACTAATGCAAACTAAAAAATTATATGCTTGTGAGATACACAACAGTTGAAAGCAGCCCTAATTGATACATTATCACGCAGGTATAGCTCATAGCTGAATTGTATAGTTGCAAATTTGGCATTCTTGTGTCAAACAACAACAACAACGGCAGGTGGCTAAAAGGGAATAAAAAGTATAAATTAAAGTTTTTTTCTCACTTTGTCTGCATATTTAATCGTCGATTTTTGATCATGTGAACAGAGATTATCTATCACGTGAACAGGGATTGTCGATCATGTGAAAGGAGTATATTTATATAGTATAGAGCACGTGCATTTTGGATGTCAAATTATCTTTTGGAAATTAATAACAAATAGCGTTGTTGCTAAGGTATTTTAAATTGGAAATTAGGCCATGTATTTTATTTTGACTCACACTGAATCCGTAACTGCCAGATTCATCTTTAAACTCGCGTTTTAAAACAATTTAAATCCAATCCAACAATTTTCAAAATTTAAACCAATTTAAACGAAATGGATGAGTAACTTCAAATAATCTCTTCCACATATTCCATATGATTATTCAGAATTGAAGACTATTGCGCTCCAATGTACGTTTACAATATTCACTAGATAGCAGATAGTTCTCCGTCAGGCAAATTTCAGCTGTTTTAAAAAAAAATTTTTGCCACTTTGATATAGTGAACCCTTCTTTTTATAGGAGGAATAAATACATTTTACAGGACCAACAATGTTCCTGAAATGTCATTTTTCATTTCTGGTTACGATGTACATTCTTCTTGTCAACGGAGAAAACGAAGAAATTCGGAACTTAAATTTTTGTTTCAATTCCTCTCTAGAAGGTAATTTAAGTTTAGCAAATTACCAAAGCTCTTCTCTTGTTCTTCTCTTGCTGAGTCATTCCTTTAAAAAAGGCCAGTTTAGTAAGAACTTAATCATCAAAAACCGGTTTACTGCATTCTAACAATACCAACAAAAAACTTCTATTTTCTTCAGGTTTCCGACTTAATGCCACTGTTCTGATGACCAAATACGTTTGCCAGTGGATAGACTGTGTTAGGGAATGTGCAAGTGAGCCATGCTGTAGATCAGTTAACTATAAACATATATCTTCCTCGAAAAATTATTCAAACTGCGAAATGTTACACAACGTGGTCTACAATGTTTCTGAACAATTATTGGAACGAAATTCTCACTATGATTATTTGTATTTGATAAACCCAATGAAGGTAAGAACGGAGTGTTACAGGTAGTGAGACTGTATATAAGCAATTATTTGTAATCGTAGTGACTTATTTACCATTTGTAGGTAAATTGTTATCTGAAACATGTTTAACGTTAAAACTCGCTTAAGGTAGCTTCACCTAATAGCGGCCATCATTTTCGATAATGCTCTTTATAAATATTCTGCATCAACATAGTGCATTTTATTTCTCTAACTAAAGATTGTCCATACTTTTACTGATTAAGAACAAAATTTTCTTTTATAGAGATATAACGAATGTTGCATTCCGAGCGTGTTAAAAGAAAAAAATAATGGTATATTTTTGTATTTAAATAACCTGCATGCCGTTTGCATTTTAGTTATAGTATTGTCGTAGTTGGTTTTGACTTCCTTTCTGAATTGTTACCTATTGTCTTCATTGTAAGTTGTTATCTATTGTCTTCATTGTGAGTTGTAATCCATTGTCTTCATTGTAAGTTGTTATACATTGTCTTTATTGCAAGTTGTTATACATCGTCTTCATTATGAGTTGTTATCCATTGTCTTCATTATGAGTTGCTATCCATTGTCTTCATTGTGAGTTGTTATCCATTGTCTTCATTGTGAGTTGTTATCCATTGTCTTCATTGTGAGTTGTTATCCATTGTCTTCATTGTGAGTTGTTATCCATTGTTTTCATTGTGAGTTGTTACCCATTATCTTCATTGTGAGTTGTTATCCATTGTCTTTATTGTGAGTTTCATCGGTTGTCTTCATTGTGAGTTGTTATCTATTGTTTTCATTGTGAGTTTTTGTTCATTTTTTTCATTGTAAGTTGTTATCCATTGTTTTCATTGTGAGTTGTTATACATCGTCTTCATTGTTAGTTGTTATCCATTCTATTCATTGTGAATTATAATATTTTGTCTTATGAAAAGCAATATTTTTTCTAGTTGTTTCAGGCTCTAGTTGTCTTCACATTAAGAATAAATGTGCAGTTTACACAGACGGAAAATATTTGATTGATCCAGATGGGGATGGCCAAGGCATTCCAATCGAAGTGAATTGTGATATGACGTCATTTGGTGGTGGATGGACAATGTGTTATACAACAAACAGTCATGTCAATATAAAGACTGAACTCACCACTACACCTGATCTGGGATATCGAGCAGACTGTAACAACATTTCGGTAAATGTTCAATATTTCCTTTAAACTATTAGGAATTATAATTTTTATTTTCTGCTAATTTTTTTTGCATTTTCCAATGCTCCCCTTCCAATTTAATGCTCTTCCAATTTTCTTTCTTAATTTAATGCTCTTCCAATTTTCTTTCTTAATTTAATGCTCTTCCAATTTTCCATGCTCAACTGAATACGGTATGGGCCAGTCTCTTACCCAGGCGCTTTAATAGTAAATTATATATTATAACGCTGCATTTCAGTTATTGTAGATAATATATAGATATAAAGTATTTGAGAAACGGTGTTATTCAATACGAATTTCAAAAGAATATTTTAGAACCCATGGTTACGAATGAACTAATTTTAAAATTTATTTATTTTATGCAAATGCGAGATGATGTAATTCATTTCCACAAAAACTAAATATTCCCCTCTTCTCTTTCTCTGTTTGTCATACCCCATTCTGTGGACGACGACATTTTTCAACCATTTTCAGGAAGTCTCAATTTTATTTAGTTCACTGAAGTGATGTTTGTTGATGAAGAATCTCAACAAAAGGCAGCTTTTACTAAAGATGATGGTCCACCTATCACATTTGCTGGTAATTACAATAAGCCGAATGCAGGATCATATGGCTTATGGACAGCAAATGAAGATGGTGTGGCCACGACGGAATACAAATATCAAATGCTTATTTGTGACACATCCTTCTTTAAGGGTCTTCATTTCTCTGGATATACTAATAACTGCTACAAACGTTGCGATTACTGGTGTGGTGACAAATCGTCTCCATATTTTCGTACATCTGCTGTCTCAGAACAAAAATTCAAAGGCGTCGCTTTCAACGAGAATGGTGATGGGCCAAAAGCAAATCGCCTGATAAGTGTAGGAATTCGTTAAGATGTAACCTAACTTGGGTCACGTCATACCATTATTATATATTATGAACAAACTGCACACATCAAGAACTGTAAACTTTGATTTTAGTAAATGGTTATATCACTGTCTTCATGTAAGCATATTTTATCTTTTGAAAACATAGCAAGCTACAATTGCAATATGTTGTTTGTCTTATGGTATTTAAAAGCACTTTTAGGATATTAGGATTTTGATCAGGTGCCGTCAACTTCATAAGTTGGCTTTGGAACACCAAGGCAATTTTTAGTCGTAAAACGTGTTATAGTATACGAAACAATCTTCGCCTCATATATAATCGTGTATATATCTTATCAATTTTTCTGTTGTTGTTCTGAATGTCTGACAAACGAATATCACAATTTGGGAGTAAAACCTTTCGACATGCACACATCATGTTCGTTGTTCAGAATCGCAAAAGCGACGAAGCAATTTCAAATCCATGAGGGAAACTACATGTACTGTAGATAAATCTTTAATGTTCAAATATGAGCTCAGCAAATCAATCTTCGCCTTAGGAAAACAGTAACTAAAGAATCTCCAACTTAAGTTTAATTCAAGAACCCATCAATGAAATTCGTAACCCAAACGACTAACGAAACAAATAACATGCATGCATCCAAAGAGAATTGAGACGGTCACGAGCGCGTGGTCGGCTCTCAATGCAAAACTTTGTTTTGGTTTAAATGGCCGATAATCTGTACATTGCATAAGAAAATGGATGATTGAAATGGGCACAATTCATAAAATTATATTTATTTACCCACACCTAACGATTGAAACCAATAGTTCAGGATATAAAAATAATAAAGATTTTAAACGAACCTAAACATCCTTGTGATGTTTCTAGGAAATCATTGAGGCTTAAGGAAAAACAAACTATAAAATAAAATAATAAATATAAAGAATCCAGTGCTAAAAATCACTACATTTCATTAAAACGAGCTTAATTTTGAAATATTATAATATTGAATCTTCCCTGGAGTAGCTATATTGTAGAGATACCAAAAGTAAAAAATTGGTTTACCAAAACGTTTCAAATTGAACTTAGAGTTGAGCAAACACTGCCCATGCACAGGGATGGAGGAAGGAGGCATCTAGAGATTTGAGAGGGGAGCACCAGTTTCCAGGGGCAATTTTGGTTAATAAAAAGGGCAGCTAAAAAGATGTATAAGGACGGTTTGCTCGCCATAGCTGGAAGGACACCACTATAGTGTGGTTTATATATTTATGCTCTACAGAAAGATTTGGGCACGTCGTATAAATGGGCATAGGTAGGATACGAAGGGGGCAGCTTCGATTTTAGCTTCGAGTTTTGCAGCTACATTAGCTTCTCTAATGTAAGGCGTCTTGTTTTGTAAATTTCAGAAAAACTGACAACAATGTCCAACAATGTTTCTGAAATGTCATTTTGCATTTCTGACCCCGATATACGTTTTCCTAGTCATCGAAAGAGGTGTAATTATCCCGAAATAGTACAATTCCAATATGCTTTAATGCGACAGTATTATCCGTTTTAAGTGACGCGGGTATTTTGAAAATATCAGGCAAAAATTATAATAAATTCATGCTTATTCATGATTATTATTTCAAGTGCCAAAAGGCCCTAGGGATGAGGTTGATGAAATACCTTCGATTCGGTTAATGTTTCGTCTCAAAAGGAAACGTCCATATTACCCAGTAGCCGATCGACAGTCGCTTTCAGTAAAAAAGTATAAATAATAACAAAAAATTACAAAATTACTGGGTACACGACATTCTCTCGAGAGCATATGACGCCATAAAGGCACACGACGAGCTTTTTAAATTATATTTTAACATAAAAACAAATTACAGGAGAACGACAAAATTTGTTTCTTAAATCAAAAACGCAATCCTCTTTTTATGTTATTTTAGATGTTTCTAAGCAAGAAAAACGACTTAGTCAAAAGTATCTAAGCGAATTGTACCCAAAATCTTTGAACGAGACCGACAACTAGACACTCATCATGAAAAGCTCCATGTGTATTTTCAAATAATTATCTACAAGTCACATATGGGTACAAAACCTTTCAAAAAGATCTAATTTTTTTTCATTTACAAAACAGCTTAAAAAATATAGCATAAAATTGTCAATTGCAAAGAACTGATGAACAATAAGTTTACTTTTCAAGTAAGGAACTCCCTTATTTATTATTCGAGAAGATTGAGCAGGAAAATTTCAAAAGCTGCAAGCGTGCATTATGGCCTCACAATGTTGTTGCTTAAATTGCCATCCATGGCTTTACTAATAGCACTATAATTATTGGGCTCTACTAAAAGCACTACTCAGTGGCTTTACTAAATTAAAAGCACTATATGGCTTTACTAAAAGCATTATAATTATTATAAAGCACTATATAATTGCCGACACGTTTCTGACAACAGCAATGAATATTCACATTTCGAGGAGTATTTTCTAAGAGTATTTTTGCAGAAATGTTAAAATAGAGCGTTAAAGCATCGCCGGGACCGCTTAAGCTTTGCGTTGACAAAAAAAAGTGGCGTATCGTGCGATTTATACTTGACGTTTGTTTATTTGTGTAAAATTTATGTTAAAAGGTTTAAAATTGGAAACCAACCGATGACTGATGCTATCCAATTGACTTAGAGTAAAAACAACCCAAATAGAAATGAGCCTTCTAAAGTCCTTGAAAAGCTTTTTTGCAAATAGTCCCTTGTTTGAATAATTATTCATGTTAATGGCTTGTCAAAGAAGGCATGTACAAGATTTGACCATAATTATATGGCTTGAAAGCTGACTATTTTCATTTCTAGCTTGGAAACACAATCAGCATCTGGTGCTCTGCTAAACTTAACAAAGACGTGTTCTAAAAGGTGCATCCTGAAATATAATTCAATGGCTTTCTTAATGCTCATTTTCGCGCTACTTTTCATTACAAAATTACCTCAGCCAGGGGAATGCCTAAATATAAGTCAGGCCTTCTTTCAAAAAATTGAACAAATGTACTTGAAAAATCATGTCATCGACACAAAGCAGACAGAAGATGAGGTGGAATGTGTCATGTATTGTTTGGAAAATGAATCATGCGCGTCTGTGAATTTCAAAATCTCTGGAAAGTTGAGAGGTCTTTGTGAGCTCAATAATTCGACGTTAACTGAAACATCTGGCACACGCGACCCAGAATATAGGCATCTTTACAAAGTCAAAAAGGTGAGAAAAAAGGAACGGATCTTTTAAATTTCAAAGCTCGTTTATACGTCTTCTTGTTGGTATAACTGCATGGTGTTAAGGCCTCTTAAATGAATTTTTCTATGTATAATGGCAAAACCAAATACGCGGTGTTCTCGTTAGCTGATATGTTAAATCAAACAAAGCATGTGCATTTTTCGTTTGTTAATCATTGTGCATAGCCGCAATAATTTTCATTGTCGGTTAACGTTAGCATTACAAACCGTGAAGTAATGAAACCTGGGAAATTTAAGATGTTTCGCGGCAATAGCTTGAAAATAACTAAGCTTAGTGATACCTTGGCGCTGCGTTCACGCGGAGCTGACGAATGGCACGTAGGAATTCTTCCGGCCTTCTTGTGTGAACACGCGCAGAACCAATCAAGATTAATTTATCGATCTCGTCGTGTGAGCAGAAGAACCGGACGAGCACAGCCAAAATTCATTGTTGTAGAACTCAGTCTTACGTCTGTATTCTAAAAGCTCACTCACACTCAAACTCCTTGAGTGGGAGATCGTAAACCTCTCATAACGTTGCCATGACGGTATTTCCAGTCGAATAGGGGCTTGATTCTCATTTTTTTACCATAAATCTTTCCACTTATTCAGAAAGAACTTTTTTATTGACCAGTGTTAACAAAATATTTATGTCACATTCAATCAGTGTGAGTGTGAGTGAGCTTTTTGAATACAAGCGTTAGACTGCTAAATTAGAGCCATTGCGGTCATCTACACGAGGAGTATAAGCAACAATTTAAAAAGTCGCATCCATACATAAATAGGTTTCCGAACATTTGTATAACGCAAATGCAATTCGTGAATAGGAAACTAAGCGCTTATTTTAATACAGGCTTTACACGAGCTCGTCTTAATTAGCCTTTAATTCGCTTATTTTTGTCGCTAAAAAATGGTACGTTTTATGAAGGTTCACGGCTATACCTGTATGAAATTTTCGCGCCTTTTTTACACCACGATTTCTCCATATCGTGAATTATTTTCGTTGTATTATGTGTGGCTAAATATCCCTTATAATTTTTATTCATATTTTTCAGAAGAAAAAAGATTTTGTCCCACCAACTTTCCAGCCTCACACAACACAAATATCAGGTAATGCAAAGGATAAAATAATAGAAATGGAAACTAGCCTATGAGATCCCTTTCGTTCCTGCCAAAAATTAAGAATAATAACATACTATGTTTTAAAACAATCTTGAAACCAAATGAGTGTTTAAATTATTATTTAAACAATATAAATTATGTATTTACAAAAAACATGGAAAGAAAAATTCCGGTTCGCACGCGAAACTCCGCCTAGTTAAAAACAGCCTATATTTAGTGTGTTTTTTGTCTTGCATGCATGGTGACACTATAAGCAGGACTGTCATAAAGGAGGATTCTCTTCCTGTGCTAATGGAGGGAAGTTGAGAGGACTATATAATTATTATACCCGATGAGGTTCTTATTTTGTACATATTTGAAAAACATAGAGAAAAATAATGTCCATTTTGGATCATCCAATGAATTAATTTGCTTTGCGTTAACCAGACAGTCACAATTTCACTTTCGTAAAAGCAATATTTTTTCCAGGTTCTAGTTGCCTTGACATTAAGAAAAAAAGTGCTGGATATACAAATGGAAAATATTTGATTGATCCAGATGGAGATGGCCAAGGCAAACTATTCGAAGTGAATTGTGATATGACGTCATTTGGTGGTGGATGGACAATGTGTTATACAACAGACAGTCATGTCAATATAAAGACTGAACTTACTACTACACCTGAATGGGGATATCGAGCAGACTGTAACAACATTCCGGTAAATATTTCCTGATTTTATTGAAACGTGAAAGTTGCACAGAGTTGAAGTTTTTGTTTATTTTCAATGTTTTATTATAGCAACAAATATGTACGAACACCAACCACCCTAAATTTACATGCATTAGAGGTTACATAAAATTTAGTAATTAATTTTTTTATGTACGCATTGCCGAATATTTTGATTAAAACTAAAACACTCGCAGAACCCTGCTACATCGTCCAGACGCGGTGCGCGGAATTTTTACATGTTGCTTTCGTATTTTTTAAAAAATCACTAGTGCATGGGAGACATTAACAAAAAGGATGTTACAGGAAATTAAAAATAATGAGAACATTAATACTTGGGGAATGTCACCGCTGCACCATTTCTTCCTCCTCATTACCAGAAATTTGCGACATGATAATTTGCATTTATACTAATTTGCATTTAACATTCAGCATAATGGCCTTAAACTTTTATTATTAAATACATATAGTAAATATACAAAACCTTTAAATGTCGTTGCCCTAGACCTTGCCCACTGTTTGCCGACCTCTGGGTCAATAGAACAGCCGTTTCCCAACGTTTTAATGATCGAATTACTTACCTTAAGTATTTCTACGTTCGGCCAACTGATTGTGAACAAATGTGTATTATAGCCTTCGTATTGTTCAAGTTCCTGATAAGACTGATAATATTTTTTAAAGTGATTGCAATGAAAATCTGAGCCGTACAGAAAAGTTTATACACAAATACGAAAGACAATATCTTTAACAACTTTTTTTGTTATATTACACGTCAATTCATCAACTACCTGAATCGAAATATTCGAATCAATGTGAGCGATTTTATAAGTTCGTTGACAGAACACGGACAAAACATTGAGCAATATATTTTTAAATTTGGCAGATTGCAGAAATGCCCAAGCTAAAAATTTCGGCCACCAAAACGTTTCTAAACAGATGCTCTATCGATCTAGAGGTCGGCAAACAGTAGGCAAGGTCTAGGGCAACGGCATTTTTAAGTTTTGTATATGTACTATATATATTTTATAGTAAATGTTGAAGGCCATTATGCTGAAAGTTAAATGCAAATTAATATACATGCAAATTATCATCTCGCAAATTTCTGGTAATGCATAAAACACTCTCGTTTGCGGCTCAGGTTAAAATGAAAAGGGAGGAGGGGGAGCAATTAGTGGTCAAAGAAATGTTATTTTAGGTTACGATTTTATTATAAGTAAGTCAATTAAACATTGCACAAACTATAAACTACTTACGTAACAAGATATCACACTCCGGGGGGACAAACTGAGGAGCAGATAACATAATTGGGGAGGCAAATCTCCCATTCATTATCTCCTCCCATTGGAAATGAATCATTGAACTTTGGAAAAAAACTTACCTGGGGAACGATGCCTTTGATTATAAATTTTCAATAAATATTTTAGAACTCCAGGTTAGGAATGACACTAATTAAAAGGCATTTCAAAATTCTAATAACTTATTATATCCAAATGCGGGATGATTTATTTTATTTCCACAAAGACTAAATCTGCCCTTCTTCTTCTCTCTTTGCCATGCATTTAACACATTCTGTGGACGATATTTTTCAATTATTCAGTTCACTGAAGTGATGTTTGTGGATGAAAAATCTAAACAAAAGGCAGCTTTTACTAAAGAAGGTCCACCTATCACATTTGCTGGTAGTTATGATAAGAAGGCAGGATCATATGGCTTATGGACAGCAAATGAAGATGGTGTGGCCACGACGGCATACAAATATCAAATGGTGATCTGTGACACATCCTTCCTTAAGGGTCTCTTTGTGTCTGGGTATACCAATAACTGCTACAAACATTGCGACAGCTGGTGTAATGACAGATTGTCTGCATATTTTCGTACATCTCCTGTTTCGGACCCAGGCTACAAAGGTGTCGCTTTCAACGAGAATGGTCAAAGGCCAAACCCGAATCGTCTGATAAGTGTAGGAATTCGTTAAGATGCATGTCAACTAACTTGGGTGACGTAATTTTTACCCTAATATGGTATGTTAAGCAAACTGCACACATCAAGAGCCGTAAACTTCGATTTTAGCAAATGTTATCAGATGTAGCACTGTTTTTGTAAAGCATGTGTGTTGTTTGAAACAACGTAGTTGCAACATGTATGTTGTGTTAACGGTATTTTGTCACCTTTCCTTGCAACATAACCTCGAGCCTTTTTTTCATAAAATCTATTGCTCGTCTTAGTATAGTCTTGTATATACCTTTTATCGTCGTATAGTTTAACATTAAACGGAGGAAGCCTTATTCAGCTAGCAAATTATTCTAATATATTGATAGTAGTTACAAGCCAACCCCGATTACACGCAGCTGCTGAAGGCTGGCTTTAGAACATGCACCACGACAATTTTTAGTCGTAAACTTTGTAATCTGAAGTAGACATTTTCCGTGGTTAAAATAATACTCCATCAGTGTTAAATATTTCAAATTTTGTCCAGATTGTTACCTGTTTTACTATTGAATATTTAGTTGAAAATAAACAGTAATGCGTGTCCATGGGCGATACTTTTATTGCCAATTGGTTTTACGATATACAGTGGGAATTAGACGCTCACTAAAAAAATCTAAATTATAATAACAAAGCAGGATGCTTTACTAATCAGTGATTCATTTCCCTGACGCATCTCTTACAGAACTCAGTACAGGATGTTTTTCTGTAGTTTTCGCTCCACTACAACCCACATTCCTGTCCGTTTAGGTTATTATGTGGGACATTGGTTTCGCGGTTGCTGCTACGTGCTACCTCAAAACCTCCATTAGTATCCGGTATATATATTTGCGCATACTACGTAAATGAATGACTGTTTACTTTACCTATAGTTGGTATACGGCAACCATGCGTTAACCTAAATTCCGCAACACTGGTGCATGTATGTTATTTGATATGCCATATATCAGTTAAAGGTATGTAATATCTTTAAAGTCTTTGGGTTTTTATCCTTGAAGAAGATTTCTTGTAGCTCAATCTGGTTTGTTCAGTCCGCCAACAATAGATTATATTGCCCGCCTCGTTTCCAAGCTAATGTTTACTTTGTGTGCCCTCAGGCAAATTTGGGAAGTGTCTGTAGAAGCACCTGAATGTGTTTAAACTCTTTGCAGTCACACAAGTTGTCAACTTGCTGTTTTCAGTTGTTCTTTAGGATGTTTATTAGCTGTATATGAGCACATTTATATGGATAAATTGCAAACAGTGCAGAATTGACACTACCAAATCTTTTTGCTAATTTCCAGTATGGTCGAATGCTCAAATAGTCTAAACATAAATGCTGGAGAACGCAATTTAAGAAGAGATCTAAAACATATCCAAAAAGCTCGACCCATGCCTTCATGGTGCAATACTGCATGTAAAACTCTCCGGTACGCCACGTGTTTTAAGGCCTATTAATTTTACACCACGCGATTAGTCGTATACGATTTGTATACTCGCGTATGATTCGAATAAATGCGTGTAAAGATGTCACTTTTTAGGTTTCGTTAAAAACTGATAACAGAGAAAGTGGCGTCTGCAATCGTTTTCATACGCCAGGACAAGTGTTTATTGCGTGATATTGCGTCATTTGTCATGCTCTAACAAGGGCTGATTGACGTCTGTGTCGTCATCAGGAATTCAAATTACTTCTAAAGATAACGGAATATTCAAAGCAACAAATAAACACCTGCAAGAAAACTAGCTTTCGACCACTCATAAACCAATCAAAACCCTCGATTTCATAATTGCGCGCATGGACCTCTTTTTGGCTTGCGTTACATAACACATTTTCAAATGCATATTTTATTCCTCTTTTCAGCAAGATATGTGACTGTTAACAGCATACGCAGCTTATTTTGCTTTGCTGGATACAGCTTGTGAAAATTCACTACAACTATATACATCGACCACGAGCAACTGTGAAACACCGTGAAGGTACTGTAAGCTTGTTTCAATACCAATTTTTGATGCAATCATGTATATTTCGTAGTATATGAATTATATAAAATTATAATGAAGATCGTTCGCCTGATGATCGTTTCAGAAGAAACGTGAAACACAGAGTGTAGCGAACATGTAATGTTCATTGATTTTATTTTAATTGCTGTATTAAATTTTCATATCGAGCACTCTTTGTTCTTGGATACTTTACTTAATTGTATACAATTTTTTATATATACATAATTATATAAATTATACACTTTTACCGCGTTTTTACTGTTTTTACCAGTACGTAAACGAACGTAAAAGTTTAAATGCTACGCGGACTTATATAGCTAAGCATTTAAACTTTTACATGCGATGCGTGTACGTGCGTATGGAAAACGCTACATTGGAAAACGGCCCTAAAGGCTGCTTTCCACTTACGCGTTTTTTATACGCACGCACACGTACGAAAAATTTTAAATGCTTTTAAATTTTTATTATTTAACATCTAGGTCAACTAATGCATACTAAAATGCGCAGAAAACTAAGTTCCTTCGATTTATTCACTTAGTTTTTTCAAAGGTAACATGTATAAGGATTTAGACTTTTACGTGCGTGTACGTGCATACGCGTAAGTGGAAATCCACCCTAAGTGACGTTCTCCGTAGCTTTGTGATTAAAGCACTGCACCGGAAAAGCAGAGTTGTACTCTCAATTACTGTCGGAGAACCGAAGTTGAATTTTTCGCAACGTTCTCGGTTAGATCTCTAAAATCGAATGCTTCTGCCATCGTTCTCCAAAAAAACTGTAAACATTTAGTTTTTAAGGGCTGCTTTCTACTGTTGCGTTTCTTTTACCCGCGTAAAATTTAAATGTTAGTCCACAGATGGGTCAACTAATACAAACTAAAACATTATGTGCTTGCGAAATACTCAACAGTTGAAAGCAGCCCTAATTGATACATTATCACGCAGGTATAGCTCATAGCTGATATGTATAGTAGCAAATTTGGCACTCTTGTGTCAAACAACAACAACAACGGCAGGTGGCTAAAAGGGAATAAAAAGTATAAATTAAATTTTTTTCTCACTTTGTCTGCATATTTAATCGTTGATTGTCGATCATATGAACAGACATTATCGATCACGTGAACAAGGATTCTCGATCATGTGAAAAGGGTATAATTATAGTATAGAGCACGTGCATTTTGGATGTCAAAATATTCTTTGGAACTTAATAACTATTAGCGTTGTTGCTAAGGTATTTTGAGTTGGAAACAAGACGTCTGTTCTGGCGTTAACTCCGGCATGCCGCGCACATGCCAGTCTTCAATATAAAGCTACTGAACATAAGCAATACAGTTCATATTCATTTAGATGCCGAAAACAAAAACAAAACAAAACCGAGGCGAATTTTCAACTCCGTGGCTGACGCCGGAGTAATAGGTCGTGTAATTTATCAGTGGCGTAGCCAGCCCGACAATTTAGTCATGCTATGCATGCTAATATTTTGGTGTTCATTGACTGTAAAAACAATAAATTTGTAAAGAAATGAATAATGATAATAACATAAAATTTGCATAGCATGACTAAATCGTCAGGCTGGCTACGCCACTGTAATTTATTTCACTTAAACTGAATCCGCCACTCCTAGATTCATCTTTAAACTCACGTTTTTAAACAATTCAAATCTAGTCTAACAACTTTCCCAATTTAAACCAATTTAAAAGAAATAGATGAGTAACTTCCAAGAGTCTGCTAGGCATATTCCATATAAATATTTAAAATCTAAGGCTATTGAGCTTCAATGTACATTTACAATATTCACTAGTTAGCAGATAGTTCTCCATAAGGTAAATTTCAGTAGTTTTTACAAGAACATTTTTTTCACTTTGATATAGTGAGTCATTCTTTTTACAGGCGGATTAAATACATTTTACAGCACCAACAATGTTCTTGAAATGTCATTTTTCATTTCTGGTTACGATGTACATTCTTCTTGTCAACGGAGAAAACGAAGAAATTCGGAACTTAAATTTTTGTTTCAATTCCTCTCTAGAAGGTAATTTAAGTTTAAGCCTGTTACCAATAATCTTCTCCAGCTTCGGGAAGAGTAATTTCTTAAAAATGGCCAGTTTAGTAAGAACTTAATCATCCAAAATGGCTTTACTCCATTGTAACAATACTTACCAAAAAATATATATTTTCTCCAGGTTTCCGACTCAATGCCACTGTTCTGATGACCAAATACGTTTGCCAGTGGATAGACTGTGTTAGGGAATGTGCAAGTGAGCCATGCTGTAGATCAGTCAACTATAAACATATATCTTCTTCGAAAAATGAATCAAACTGCGAAATGTTACACAACGTGGTCTACAATGTTTCTGAACAATCATTGGAACGAAATTCTCAATATGATTATTTGTATTTGACAAGCCCAATGAAGGTGAGAACTGCATGAGAACGGAGTGTAGCAGATAGTGAGACTGTATGCAAGCAATTTACAATCATAGTGACTACTTTGCCATTTGTAGGTAAATTATAATCTGAAGCATTAGGTTCCGTCCATAAAATGTTTAACGTTAAAACTCACCTTAGGTAGCTTGATTTATTATTGTGGCCATCATATTCGATAATCACCTTTATAAACATTTTGCATCAACATAGTGCATTTTATTTCTCTAACTAAAGATTGTCCATACTTTTACTGATTAAGAACAAAATTTTCTTTTTATAGAGATATAACGAATGTTGCATTCCGAGCGTGTTAGAAAAAAAAAATAGTGGTATATTTCTGTATTAATTATAGCCTTGTCGTAGTGGGTTTTGACTTCCTTTCTGAGTTGTTACCTATTGTCTTCATTGTGAGTTGTTATCCATTGTCTTCATTGTGAGTTGTTATCCATTGTCTTCATTGTTAGTTGTTATCCATTGTCTTCATTGTGAGTTGTTGTCCATTGTTTTCATTGTAAATTGTTATCCATTGTATTCATTGTAAATTGTTAATATACATCGACCTCATTGTTAGTTGTTTTCCATTCTCTCATTGTGAATTATAATACATTGTCTTATGAAAAGCAATATTTTTTCTAGTTGTTTCAGGTTCTAGTTGTCTTGATATTAAGAATAAAAGTGCTGGATACCGAGACGGAAAATATTTGATTGATCCAGATGGAGATGGCCAAGACATGCCCTTCGAAGTGAATTGTGATATGACGTCATTTGGTGGTGGATGGACAATGTGTTATACAACAGACAGTCATGTCAATATAAAGACTGAACTCACCACTACTCCTGAACTGGGATATCGAGCAGACTGTAACAACATTCCGGTAAACATTTCATGATATTAACCATTTCCTTTTAAACCATTACGAATCATAATTTTTAACTTGTAATGCAATTTCAATTTTGAGGGATGTTAATTTGTTAAGAGTGTTCGATATGCTCAGAAAACGTTATCAGCCGTAATATATTTGGTATTTGGCAACTTTAGATGCCTCAGGAGTTGAAGAATTTCAATACAAACTGCGAGTAAAGTTGCATAGTGTCACACCGCCTTAAACCTCGCCTAATATTCATTTTGAATAAGAAGAAAATCCGAAAGTGCATACAGCATGAGATTGGGCTATCTTTGAATGCATTGATTCAATTTTACTCTCCTGGGATGTATTGTGATGCATTGCTATATAATTATTTTGCCCCTAAAATATGAGCTCTGCACTTTCGCTTGAACTGTACCTAGAATTAGCCATGGCTTCAAGATGAGAGTCAGAGTTTTTCAGCGTTAGCTGGCAAGTGCTTATATACGTTGACTTTAAATGTACTATTTTTATCTATTTATCTACCGGGTGTATCAAAAAAAATGTCCCAAATGTAAAAATTCCGTTTTTCAGGATATTTTGCAGAATTTGGCAAATTTTTGTGTTCCTAGAGATAGTTAAGACTTATCTGGTATACCTAGGCCAAGTTTGGTTTTTCATCAACAAATTTATGTTACCGGGGGGGTGGTTCTTTTCCACTGATATTGAGAGGGCTTGCGCGCGAAAATGTGAAGCTGAAATTGAGATATTATTTAGCTGTCTAAAAGTAAGAAAGCTTTTTAATAAACTGTCAAAGTTTCAGGAAAAATAATGCATACTGGGAGCAACGCGCGACCCCTAAAGGTGACAAATATTTCATTGCGCGCAGTGGATTAAATGCATCGTTGATTTTAGCGTGACCGATCTCATACAAGGTGGGCAAATGAATAAATTAAAGCGAGAAACTGAACACAAAAACAAAGCGAATTATTCTTGATGTTAATCCTCAGCATGTCCACCATTTCATTCTAAGCAAACTGCGGCTTGTCTGAGCATACTAAACACTGAACAGCGAACCATTTGTCTGTCCATTCGCCTAGATTTGTAGGCGAGGTGGTAGCGTAGGCGATTTGCAAGAAAGAATTTCGAACGAAATGTATAATTTGAGGCAGGACAGACAAATGTGGTTCGCCGTTCAGTGTTTACCATGCTCAGACGAGCCGCAGTTTGCTTAGAAAGAAATGGTAGAAATGTTGAGGATTGACATCAAGAATAAAAATCTTGTTATTAAATCGCTTCGTCTTCTTGTTCAGTTTCTCGCTTTAATTTATTCATTTGCCCAGCCTTGCATGAGATCGGCCACGCTAAAATCAACGATGCATTTAATCCACTGCGCGCAATGAAATATTTGTCACTTTTAGGGGTCGCGCGTTGCTCCAAGTTTGCATTATTTTTCCTGAAACTTTGACAGTTTATTAAAAAGCTTTCCTACTTTTAGACAGCTAAATAATATCTCAATTTCAGCTTCACATTTTCGCGCGCAAGTCCTCTCAATATCAGTGGAAAAGAACCACCCCCCCGGTAACATAATTTTGTTAATGAAAAACCAAACTTGGCCTAGGTATACCAGATAAGTCTTAACTATCTCTAGGAACACAAAAAATTGCCAAATTCTGCAAAATATCCTGAAAAACGGAAATTTTACATTTGGGACATTTTTTTTGATACACCCTGTATATCTATCTGATAGCTCTGAAAGAAAACTAAAACGGTAAAACGTCGCTTCACGCCAAAATATCGCTTGCGGAAAACCAGTTCTATGAAGTGCTACATTTTTATCGCCACTAATTCATTGCGCCCACAAAGTTGCCGTCGTGGCTTGATATATTCCTTGATATTCAATCCACATCAAGTCAATAGCAACTTCGTTTTATCCGGAGACAATTCGATATAGATTTTTATACATAAAAAAACGAAAGTAGTTTTTATGGCCAGGCCACAGGAAATGATCATGTGATAAAATATAAACGTTCTAATAAACGTTCTTTAAATTTAACGATTGCACATTCCAGTAATGACAGAGCCTAAGTAATGTTATTAGAACATATTTTAGAAGTAGTTGTCGGCGAGAAAAAATCTGGTATCACAAAACTTTTAACGTCATTTTCGTTATATTCGTCATTTTCAAATAAAGATTCTCCTCATTTATGCAGTCTGTCTGTATACGTCGGAAGATAATTTTAAACCTTTTTTTCAGTTCACTGAGGTGATGTTTGTCGATGAAGAATCTAAACAAAAGGCAGCTTTTTCCAAAGATGATGGTTCACCTATCACATTTGCTGGTAATTACAATAAGCCAAATGCAGAATCATATGGCTTATGGACAGCAAATGAAGATGGTGTGGCAACGACGGAATACAAATATCAGATGCTTATCTGTGACACATCCTTCTTTAAGGGCCTCCATTTCTCAGGATACACGAAGAACTGCTTTAAAGAATGCGGTCACTGGTGTGGTGACATGTCGTCTGCATATTTTCGTACATCGGCTGTCTCACACCCAGGCTACAAAGGCGTCGCTTTCAACGAGAATGGTCATAGGCCAAGACCAAATCGCCTGATAAGTGTAGGAATGCGTTAAGATGTAACCTAACTTGGATGAGGTCATACCATGATATATGAACAAACTGCACACATCAAGAACTGTAAACTTTGATTTTAGCAAATGCTTATATCACTGTCTTCATGCAAGCATATTTTATTTTTTGAAAATATAGCAAGCTACATTGCAATATGTTGGTTGTCTTATGGTATTTAAAAGCACTTTTAAAGATATTGATACCGGTGCCGGACCGTCAACTAACTGTACATAAGTTGGCTTTAGAACACCAAGGGAATTTTTAGTCGCAAGACTTGTTATAGCCTACGGAACAAATTTGTAGTGAATAAAATGATGTGATCGAATTATGAAGTAAACAAGTTTATTGACTTTTATCTTCATATTTTCGTACATCTGCCATGCGCACAGACTTCGACGGTGTCACTTTCAATGAAAATGGCCATGCCTCAAAGTCAGATCGTTTCACTGATGAGCGTAGGAATTCGTTAATGAGTCGACTAATTTACAGTTCTTTTATTCTCATCAAATTTAACAGACTAGCCCCTATAGCCCTCCTTAGCGTGCCTTGCATTCTTGTGACGTCACTGGTTTGAACGCGCGGGAGAGGACTAGCACAAAATGTTTTTAATTCTTATAATCCAAAAAGGCGGCAAGAAAATTTTTCTCAAGCAATACTGATCTCAAAATCTTTGCATCAGGGTCAAAATCAGGGATAATTTTTGAAATCCCGACATTTTGTGCTAGTTCTCTCAGCGTGGGCTGCCTCCCCCCTGCACAAATAACAGCGCGCGCGCGCTTACGAGCCTTGGGACTAGGCTGATAATTTATAAAAATAGAGCGCAAAGTATCATTAGTTCGCAATTTAGCAAGAAGGTACTGCAAGTTATAATAAAGTCACTGTCACAAGCACAGAATACCAACTTTTAGAAAGTTTAGTTCCTCTGGAAATGTCACATTGGCAAATACAAATATATTTCGTCATTCTGTTTCTGTTTTAAAGTCATCAATTCCGTAGTTGTGCAACGCATCTTAACAAGATTTATAAATAAGAATTAGCTTTTTACTAGATACACCGGTTTTTAAATATGTTATAGGTTGATCAGTATTGGACATTTTATGTTACAATATCCGGTAAGCATCGTGCATGGAATCAATTTCCTTTCAAGTTCAAATTGTTAAAATGAAGCGTTGAATTCGTCATCAGATGTTATTAAACGTGCAAGCAAAGGAATATGACTTATACATATATAGATACGGCATGCAGGCGGTTTTAATATTTTTTAACATAAAAAGAAGTTGCAGGACAACGACAAAATTTGTTTCCTAAATCAAAAAGTGCAATCCTCTTTTCATGGTATTTTAGGCAAAAGTTTTAGGCGAATTGTGCCCAAAAACCATTGAACGAGAGTTACGAAACCGATAACGAGACACTGATCGTCAAAAGCTCCATGTATATTTTCAGTCGTATATCTAAAAGTCACATATCATTACAAAACCATTCAAAAAGATCTAATTTTTTTTTTCACTTTCAAAGCAGCTTAAAAATATAACATAAAATTTTCAATTGCAAAGAACTTCGACAAAATTAGCCTTTCTCACGATAAGGAATATCCGAAATTTTTGGGGTACTTTCAATTTTCCTAAATGCGTTTAAACAATAATTAATTTTAGTCAAGTAAGAAGCATTTTTTAAGAGTCTGCATTGAACAATAAATTAAGCCTAAAATTAAAGACAGCCACCCTAACAGGGTTTTGCACTCACAATTTAAAAAAAGGATCCCAAAAATGGTGGCGCAATCGTCATCGTGAGAAAGGCTAATTATAGTTTACTCCCAGTAAGCAATTCATTTACTTTTCGACAAGATTGGGCAGGAAAATTTCAAAAGATGCAAGCGTCCATTATAGCCTGGCAATATTGTAGTTTAAATTGTCATTTATGGCTTTACTGAAGGCACTATATAATTGAGCTTTAATTGTCGACACGTCTCTGGCGACAGTATTGAATATTTACATTTTCTCAGCATTGTGCAGAAATGTTGAATATAGAGCTAATATATAAGGTGGGCGCGACCGCTTAAGCTTTGCTTTGCCAAAAAATGTGGCCTTCCGTGCGATTTATACTTGACGTCACGTTTGTTTATTTATGTAAAATTCATCGTAAAATTGGAAAGCAACCGATCTCTGACGCAGTCCATTTGATAGAGTCAAAACAACCCAAAGAGAAATGAGGTTTTTAAAGTCCTTTTAAAAGCTATTTTGTAAATAATCCTTTGTTTATATAATTAATCCTTTTAAATGAACATTTAGAGTGTACGCTTCAATGATCTCGGCTTAGTACAAGAGCCCTTAGTACTAACACAGTTAATAGAATATGCAGGGTGAGTAAAAAAAAACTGACACCTTTGAAATTCAAATTAGCTGCGAACTTTTGACTGGAATATGACAATTCCCATGTACAATCAACAAAAACGATTTGATAAAACTGTTCTTTTGTATTTACAGAGCTTATAATGCATTTTAACTCCCAATGGGAACAAACTTTATGTTTTAGGTTAGTTAATATGATATGCTTCGTATACCTACGAAATATTCTAAGCAACTTTTGTCACATTACAGCCGCTATGCCACTAATTTGAATTTCAAAGGTGTCAGTTTTTTTTTACTTACTCTGTACATGGTTGGAGACTAAATAAAAGTACAATACAACTAATTAGCTATGTTATTGTCCGCGTTTATGCAAAAATGGTTCCTTTCTCGTCACTTGTCCATTGTATTTTAGCCAAACGTACCAATGGCATTCGTCTTGCTAAGCTCTTCATGCAACCTTGACTTGAAAAATATGTTAATTATAACATTGCTATTGGTTTAACGGTGAAAAAATACAATAGACGCATGGTTACACAGGAAAAATTTTTAGAATAAATCTACCTCAACATAGTTAATGAGTTGTATTGTAGTTTTATGTGGTCTTCAAACCATGTATATTCTATTATTTGTCGTAATAAATATATAGAGTGAAATTTTGCAAAATCTCGGTAACGTCACCTCCGGGTTAACATTGGATGAACATGTGGCGTCTGGATTGTGTGTACGCTGTACGTTTCTGTTTGTCGTGGCCCTGGCATTGGGGATTTTAAATGATATTTCCTCCCACACTAGACGACGTTCAGCCATAACAAAGTCTATTTCCTTGACTGATCATGAGATCGCGACGTCCAACGTGCTTGTTCGCTGTGAATAAGCTTCCTACACTCGCCTTTTGGTTTTGCACTGTCTACGGGAAAGTAAGCGATCATCTCCTCGTCATAAGACATAAAGGCCTGCTCTATTGAAGGGAATTAAAGTAAGTGTATGTGTATTTCCCTGGCTATAATTACTATTTCTATAGCACGTTGTTGTTCTAGTTGTAAATCTGCATACGATATCTACAGGCACGGTGCCTGTACCCGAAGGCACGGTGCAATTTTTCTTGCAACTTATAACGTAATTCTACTTTTAAGAGTTGAAATTTGGCCACTACGGAACCGTTTATGTTTATTACACTCCTAATTTGCATCTCTTAAAAGTAGGATTGCATTGGGTAACATGGCCTTAAGTCTCAAGTAAACACATCCTAACATTGGATCTTCAGCACTGTTTTCTGCATTTTAGACACGCAATACACACTTCCCGAATTTGTTTTCGGGCAACGAAAAAAACAGCCCTCCAACAGTAGATTTTCTTATATAGGTGATGTGTAACTATTTTAAATGTGATTGGTTCATTCGTAGTCAAATGACTTTAAATAAATGCAATGTTTCCCTCCAGGGAAACAAGTGAAAAATTGTTGCCACTCAAGCAAATTTGGGAAGTGTCTGTAGAAGCACCTGAACGTGTTTAAACTCTTTGCAGTCACACAAGTTGTCAACTTTTTGTTTTCTGTTGTTCTATGGGATGTTTATTAGCTGTATATGAGGACATTGGTGTGGATAAATTGCAAACAGTGCAGAATTGACACTACCAAATCTTTTTGGTAATTTCCAGTATGGTCGAATGCTCAAATAGATATACGAGACATATACTCGTCTAACGATAAATTATGGAAAGCCATGACTGGCTTATGTGCTCAATGATCTTTATATCTTTATATATGTGCTTTTATCATTATATATATGCTGTACTTTCGTTATTATATGCGGTGGTTAATTCATATATGCACTAGTTACATCATTATATGCTGTGCTTTTATTGTTATATTCGGTAGTTACATCATTATATGCTGTACTTTCATTATTATATCCGGTAGTTTTATCATGATACGTGGTACTTATATCTTTATATTGGGTAGTTTTATTATTATGTGCGGTAATTACATCATTATATGCAGTATTCATATCATTATATGAGGTGCGGATGTGCTTACTTATTTATATGCTGTACTTTCAACATTATACGCAGTACTTATATCATTATATGCTGTGCTCAATTGCTCATTGCAGCCTTATCATGATAGATTTAATTTTTCAGCAATACTTCATGTTAGGTCACATAATAATGAACATTGCAATTCATTATGTCAAACTTACATGAAGTGGAGCGTAATAGTACCACTGACCAAAACGTTGGCCCAGTGGGGGGAAAACATGGCTTTTCGTGACTAATTAGTGCTAATTATACAATATTTATAAAATATGGCGAATAAAATTATAGAGACATGCAGCTAAATACAGGAATTGCACATCTACTATGATGCGTATTACATTACGTTACTCCGCTAAAAAAATACCGCTGTCAATTCTATACAGTGGTCACTTGGTGTCTTTAATCATTAAAAATCCCTAAAGATTTCCAAAAATCTCGTACGCTTTTTTTGCAAGTGGTACGGCCCTCGTTTCAAATTTTAAAATAATTCGAAATTGTTGACTTTGAGGCTAATCTTGTAGTGTACCGGAAATAGTTATACATTAGAAATAATTTATTCATGTAGATATAGGTTTAAATAGAGTAAAGCATTGGAAATAAAAGGATTATTCTATTGCTATAACTTGTGGAACGTGCTAACACAACATTGGAGACGAGGATGGCAGAAAATGTATTGCCAGTTCCTCAACAGTTCAACGTAGAAGCCATGGATGTCTATACCGAAT